AGGCATTTTCCTCATTATGTCACTGGGTCTAGAGATCACTGTTGTATAGGACATGTATCAACTATGGCGAGAAGATATCTTTCCTAAAGATAAGTAAATTTTTAGTTGTAGTTGATAGTTTATACAATAAGGCCATGAAATGCACAGAATTTTCAGCAGAATTAGCGACCCAGATTGAACGATCATAATGAAGTTGTCGTGTTATACGACTTGCTTTAATGGTAAGTACGAAAAAAAATACGTATAATTTTAATTATTTGCCTTAATATTATTAGTTTTTAAGTTTTATTTGGAATAACTAAACTCAAAAAATATTTTGTATCGTTCTTTGCGTTACTAAAGTATATTATATAATATTGTTTTACTGAAATTATATTAATTGTGTTATTTGGAAATTTGTTAGTTTTGTCTCTTATGGCGGTGTCTTCAATCTCGCTAAACATTTTAATTATTACGTCATTGGGTCTTGAAACCAATATGGCGGACATATACGTTCCACGGACATCTATCATAAGTATATATTTAAATGTTTCAAGAGACATTGCTTATGTCGTTACGGCAATGCCTCAACCTCATATGGCATTTAAATTATTATGCCATTGGGCTTGAGATCGCTGCTGTAACAACTATGGCGAGCAGATATTTGTTATGGAAATCATCATCAGCCTTTTCACGTCCTCACTGCAGGGGCTCGGGCCTTCTTCATGGATGGAGGATGGGCCATGAGCCTAGACATTGGCCCAATACAGATTGGAAGGTATGAACGACAGCAAAACACAACCGACACCAACAGCTTAATGTGCCTTCCGAAGCCTTGACCGACATTTGCGAAAGTTGCTTAGCAACAACGATCGCGGGCCCGTTGCTTATCCACTACAATATAATTTAAATCTAAATAATATAAATATATCACGTTTAAATTTGTCACTACGGCAGTGTCCCAACTTCAGTAGACATTTTCTTCATTATGTCACTGGGTCTTGAGACCACTGTTGTAGGGTACATGTATCAACTATGGCGAGCAGATATTCTTGGATATATCGAAACTGTAAGTACGTTTTTGCTGTATTATATTTATCATGTATTAAAACAAGAAATATTCGTAGATTTACAATGAATTGAAGTATAATATCAAGTGGAAAGTTTATCAAATATGTATAACCTACATTTATTGTCATTTTACGGCAGTGTCTCTATTCTCAGTAGACATTTTCATCATGATGTCACTGGGTCTATAGATCACTGCTGTATCTGACTACTGTCAACAAATCACCACAAATCATACGTCATCACCGCTTCTACATCACTAATGTCGTTACTGCAGTGTCTTAACTCTCAGTAGACATTTTCATCATTATGTCACTGGGTCTTAAGATCACCGCTGTATGAGACATATATCAAATATATGTAGCAGATATTATTCATGGATATACTACATTTTTATGTTTCGCACTTCATTATTTGTCGTTATGAAGATTTATTATGGAATGTTTCAAGTGTCATTATTTATGTATGTCATTACAGCAGCGTCTTAAGCCTAGTAGGCATTTTTATTATTATGTCACTGGGTCTTAAGACGACTGTTGTATCGTACATGTTTCAACTCCAGCGAAGATACAGTGGAATCACTAGAAACGACCAATCAAGAAGTATCAAACGCGAGAATAGAGACCAAATTAACATTAGGTATCTTTTTCTCAGTTGGTATGTCTCAATCTATCACTGGGTCAAAGATACTTGCTGTTAATGGGATAACAGCAAAGGAGACAACGCTACGTTTATTGTGAGTATGTATAAGTAAAGGTTCAAACAAGTGACTATAATCAATCATAAAACTACACAAAGTTCTACACCACCAATAGCCGCTTTCACATTGGAAGATACCTGTAACTACACGATAACGCACGATATCGTCGGACAGGTAGTTTAATACAATCTCTACTGGGGGCTTTCACGCTTTTGTTTATCGTTGCCGACCGATTATCGTGCCGATATCAGGTGATGACACAGTTTTGCACAGTACATATAAAAGATATAGCAAATGAAGTGAGTCATTTGCCATTCAGTCAGCTGCCATTATTACCTGGAATATTCTATTACACTTTTGGAATCCCTGGGATACATATGACTAACTGCTGGTAAACGATTCGTTGTAACGTGCCACATACCGATATCGTTGTCGTATGAGCTGACGATATTTGAGTATCGTATAGTATCGTTATCGTAGCAGTGTGAAAACGCCAAATGTCAAGAAGCCATTCCTATCATTATGTCACTGGGTCTTAAGACCACTGGGTAAATGCATTGCTATGTTTAATAAAGTTTCATAAAATGTAATTGACCTACCCGTAAATAAATTAAAAAATTCATGTAAAGAACATACTTATGAGTAAAGGCTATTATAAAGTTGGTGATTATTTTATGGAGCGCAATGCATGGAATTAATAGCCTTGGCTTTGTTCTATAAAGACTTATTATATGTACAGACCTATAACCTACAGACTTTGAAAGTTGTATTTCTTATTATTGTGATAATACGTACTATTTTGGTAATGACATGATTTATGTAAATGTCATTACTTATGATAAAGAGCTGGTAAGTTTCTTTCGCTTGTTCTTCTTGTCAGCTAAAAGACGTCCTGAACAAGTGGTAGGGGAAAAAATTTTTTTTGGACGATTCAAAAGTGCTTGTAACAAGCTTACTTGAATAAATACATTTTCATTTTATTCAACTATTGTATGGAACTTGTATCAAGTATGGCGAGCAGATATCTTTCATGGTACATCGAAACTGTAAGTTTATATTAGTTTTAAATTCTCAAGATGTGTTGTGCGATGTTCAATGTTAATCCATAGGTCCACCGCACTTTACAAAATAAGAAAATTTACCGTCACACACTTCAATATTAATTATATTTATTTATAGTTGGATAATATTTAGTATTGAAAACTACTAAAAACATTTTTCTATTAATATTTGCGGCTATGTTTCGGCACAATTTAATAAATCTATTTTTTTTTGTGCAAAGGAATTTTGATTTTCATTCTGCATTGAAGTAATTGTATTAAAATCATTTTAAATGTCAATATTTCATAGTTTCATTTTGTTGCAACTAATATCGATTTTGACGTCTAGATGGCGTTATGACGAATGAGGAAGCATTTTAAGAATAAAAGCAATCAAAAGCACCTCACTAGATGGCGACTTTAGCAATAGTCGATTTTTGCAGGAAACGAATGGACCAAAGACAATCATTTCCGTTCCTTTTAACTAACATATTAAAAAACTGAAATTTGAAAAGTTCGAAACTTAGATATCAATACAAATACGAAACAGTACAAACAGAATATGAGTTGTTTATTGAGTGTTGAGAACTAATGCACTTGTATACATGACAGAAAACCGGAAGGGTTGTCGTGGAGAAGTCAAGAACGTACCGTAGCGACATCTAGTTAGATTTCGGGAACTAATTTTTTTTTAAATACTTCCTCATGTGTCATTACTAATTGATCATTTTTGTATTTACTTATTTTTTAATTACTTAATGCCATCTTTTATTCATTTCATTTTCATTTTACATGTAGAAATTTATTTATTCACTCGACATTGGCAGATTTGTGCAAAATGAGCAGATAAGCCATTACCTAATAAAAGAAGAGGAAGAAGATGATGACAAAAAAAAATTAATAATTTTAGAGACAATTTGTATTTTATTTTTTGGGATCATATTGACATTTTTATATCTCTTTTTTAGTTTAATTTTCGGTCAATTTTGATTGACATGTGTGACTTGTAATATTAAATAAAACAGTAAATATTCTGGGCATTTAAAAATTGTTAATAACGTGTATATTGCTGCAAATAAAGTTGTAGTTGTAGTTGCAGTTTTAAAGATCTTTAATTTCAAATAGCTTTTTTAAATTATTTTATAAATGCTAAAACGAAGCAAAAATTATAAGGCGTTGTCTCTCTCCACCTATTAAGTTCAGGTACATACCATATGTCGATAAAAATATACAATAAAATACCAAAATACATTAATGATATAGAATTAAATGCAGTATTTTACAAATAGTTAAAATTTAATTTAATTTAATAGACCGATGCTGCTATAATTTAAAGGAATAGGGATGATGATTGGGTAAAAAAAATGCAATTCTATTTAGTCCGTCAGTCAGATAATAGAAAAATATTGGATACGTATTTTTTTTTTACTTCAATTTAACAAGAAATAGTATAGATAACAGGCATTAAAGTTGAGTAGTGGGGGCTCGCTACGTCACAGTTGAGTAGAAAACGTACTCTAACGTGACGTCATGCGAAATTTCAACTCAATGCAACGCCATAATTTTATGATTATGAAAGAATAAAAAAATACGTGTTTAATATTTTTTAACACTCTACCTGACGGACAGACAAACAAAAATTAGTCATCATCCCTATTGTGTTGTTTTGTGTGTTTAACTTAACTTAAAATTAAATTAAGTTAATGTTATAATGATTAGAAATTTTTCACCCGCGAATAATGAAGCTGATAAGGTGCTTCTACTGTATTAAAAATTTATTGTTAGAAATTTTATAATTAAAATCGACATGTAATAGTATATGTATTTTGACATCTAATAAGTGTATGTAATCAGAAAGTGTTCTGTTATTTATATCTCCGTTTTCATGCCGTTTACATGTATAATATAAGTTTTTCGAATGGTAGAGATTGCTACCTAGCAATAAGGCCGCCTTTTGTGTTACTGTATCTAGTTTTATGTATCTTTCTTACTGTATTTTATAGTGCAATAAAGAATATTCAATCAATCAATCAATCAATTCAATCAATCAATCAATTCAATCAATCAATCAATCAATGAAATAAATAAACCTATAATTAAGGCAAAATTTAGCATTAATTTTATATTATAAGCACTGAATTATTTACTTATAGACTTGACTTGTGTCTTGTTGGTTGTCCTAATCAAATAAATAAATAAATTCTACAACTCACCTTATTAATTAAGCAGCTTTGGAAGTCCTTCTTCATCTCCGATACGGAGACTCGGTCTTGTGGTCTCTTAGGACCGCTTACTGACGTCACTACATCAGCAAGATTCAATTCTACGACCTGTCATAGAGATAAATCCTATTAATATTATAAATGTGAAAGTTTCTTTGTTTGGATGTTTGTCGGTCAATCACGCCGAAATTACTGAACGGATTTTGATGAAATTTGGTATACAGATATTGCATTAGTTGACTTAGATAATAGGACTTTTTATCCCACTAAACATTTATCTAGGATCCACGCGGGCGGCTGGCGAAAGCTAGTATATTATAAAACAAAGTCACCCGCCGCTTTTCTGTCTGTTTCTCTGTATAATATAATCACTATATATTATAAAACTGAGTCCTCCGATTCTGTTTGTCTGTTCGCGATAAACTCGAGACGTACTGGACGGATTTTCATGCGGTTTTAAACAAAAGAGCAATTCTCGAGGAAGGTAGTGTATAGTGATTTTAGGTTTTGTACAAACTGACTATATTAGAACGATATTAGTTCAATATGTCGGAAAAATAAAGCGGATAGGGGGTTTTCCTCGAAAACGCTGAAAAAACTTTTTGAGTTACAACAAAACATTGTATGGTGGAATTGTACCTCTTTAATAGATCTATAAAAAAGTCCGCGGTGGTGTATGTCTATATACCCACAATAACTATTTACGTATATTTCAAACAGTATAATTAATATCTGCACAGTTTGCAGCCAAAAAAGTCAGTTGCAGAGCCCCCATTAAATGTTTCATTAGTTTAAAGCCATTACCTATATAAATTGACATCCGTTAGAGTTAAAGGCGTGTTTAAACCTTAAAGGACGTTTGTGAAATGCCCGGAAGAGCATAAAACATTTTGGTTTTTTTAATTATTAGTTTAAGCAATAATTAAATTATAATAAGCGTTAAAGTATGATTATTATCCATACTATATATTAATAATATAAATGCGAACGTAACTCTGTCCGTCTGTTACTTAATCACACCTAAAACATTGAACCAATTTGCATGAAATTTGGTATGGAGATATCTTAATACCCAAGATAGGACAAAGGCTACTTTTTACCGCGGGAAAATGACGCATTCCCATGGGAAAACATAATTTAAATATATATAACTCAAAGGCGACTGACTGACATAGTGATCTATCAACGCACAGCCCAAACCACGGGACGGATCGGGCTGAAATTTGGCATGCAGGTAGATGTTATGAGGTAGGCATCTGCTAAGAAAGGATTTTGATCAATTCTACCCCCAAGGGGATAAAATAGGGGATGAAAGTTTGTATGAAACTTTGTCAATTTTAAACCGATCGGACTGAGATTTTACATGCATAAAGCTACTATGATGTAAGCATCCCCTAAGGAACGATTTTGATCAATTCCACCCCTAAGGGGATAAAATAGGGGATGAAAGTTTGTATACATATTTTTAGATTTTCTACTGATTGAACTGAAATTGAAGATTGGAGCTATCATGATGAAGACGTCCGCTTAAATAGGACTTTGATAAATTCAACCCCCATGGGGATGAAATAAAGGAAGATGGAGGATGTAAATGTATTAGATTTAACGAATAAATATTCGTTAGAAATGCTGCTCAAAGTAACTTTACCACGCGGACGAAGTCGCGGGCAAAGCGTATATATATATATTTTTTAAGATTTTTTTTCACTCGGTTTTGGAAGTTGTGTACAATATATATATTTTTTATTGTTATTCTTAGAATAATATTAAAAATCAACTCACCTCAGAGAATACAGGATCTTGTTCTGGATTATTGTAGTTTCTGAACTGTTTTGTGGCGCGAAGATATTCCTCTATTACTTTGATTTTGTCGTCTGGACGATCTGTAGAAACATTATATTAATTATAATGGTGTGCGATGCGTTAGTGAAGTGACTTTCGCGAAGGCCACACACAGGATGGGTGACCGAAAATTTACTATCTCGAACTCCTTCGTGCCGGCTACTGGAGTCGTTAAAATCCACTAATCCGCGCTGGGCCCGCGTGATGGATGGCCCATTCTTCCCATTTAATTTCATTCGTCGCCATCATTATCTCTTTTGTGTACCCACTGCGGGGGCTCCGGATTTCTTTGTCAATGTTAAGGAGGATCGGCCACGACACGGGCCCAATGCGGATCGGTGGGTGTTAACAATTGCAGATGCAGTCGGGACTGACGGCTTAACTTCCGAAGCACAGAGGAGCTCAATATTATAATTATTTGGTCACCCATCCCGTGACCGATCGTTGCAAAAGTTGCTTAACAATAACGATCGTGGGCCGCTGTGATTTAATTACCAGGTGATTATCTGAAAAATTTGCTCGATTATTTTAATTCAGTATTTTTAAGAGCAAAATTCCGGTCACTCATCCCAATACCGACCTTGGGAAAAGAAGCTGAGCTTTAAAAATAAACTCACTCGTTTGACTCAAGTATTGCAGCGATCTCTCATCTACGGGGAAGTAAGCGACAGTCGCGCCGAATTCTGGACACATGTTGGCAACCGTAGCCCGGTCAGCGATACTCAAACCAGACACGCCGGGGCCGAAGAATTCAACGAATTTCCCGACTACGCCGAGCGAGCGAAGGTGCTGGAAAAAGATAAGATAAGATAATAGGAATATATCTTGATGTCAGTTACCTGTACTAATATTATAAAGAGAAACCTTTTTGTTTGTTTGTTTGCATCCTATACGGTCAGTTGCACAATTACTCCTTTAAGTGCTAATGCATGTCAAATTTGTATGGGTAATGTCGCTTTAAACTAAGAACAATTTTAATGGACGTTTGTGCAACTTGCTATAGGCTCATAAACTTGGAACGATATTTTATGCCACACAAAACAGATTACAATGAGGAAGTATTTAAAAAAAAAGAAAGCACTAAAAAAGCACCTCCACTAGATGGCGACTCTAGCAAAAGTTGATTTTTGCAGCAAACGAATGGACCAAAGACAGTAATTTCCGTTCCTTTTAACTAACATATTAAAAAACTGAAATTTGCAAAGTTCGAAACTTAGAAATCAATGCAAATACGAAAAAGTACAAATAGAATATGAGTTGTTTATTGAGTTTTGAAATTTAATTTGCTTTTATACATGAAAGAAAAGGGTTGTCATGGAGAAATCTAGAAAGTACCGTAGCGACATCTAGTTTGATTTCAGGAACTAATGTTTTTTTTTTTCAAATACTTCCTCATTGATAATTAAATTACAAAAACAATCAAATTAATATTATCACCAAAATAGAGTATTCTACTCTGTTTGAAATAATACTTGTAACTTTATTTTACTAAGAAAAAAGCCTTATAACAAATATTCCGGAAAGATAAACACACGTTTTCGTGTCTTAAAATTAAATGGAAATTTAAACCATTTTTTAATACCCATTTAAACGCTGTCTGTCACATTCGTGACATTACTGTGATATGTACACAAAACAGATTAATAGATTAGAACATTAAAAGATGTTAACAAAACAAGAACAATGCCATCTAACGATCGATTTCGAGATTAAGAGATATAAATAAGCTAATATAATCAGCCATTTTGAAATTTGATGTATAATTACTAAGCGTATTTTTATGACTAATTTGACAGATGTCGCTACGGTGACATCACACAACGGCTGTTCGTGTTTTAAGTTAATGTAGAACTTATGATCAGAGGTCGGAATTAGGTAGAGTTATTTATGTACTTGCATCGAAATGTTGATAATAATGTGGACTTTCCGGGGATTTCTAATGGACAATCCCGTGTGGCCAACAATCTAATAACTAAATAATAATAACAACGTCAGAGATAGAAACCAAGATAATTAACATAAAATTTTTATTACTTTACATTAATTTACAATACAAATTATTGATAGTCTTAAGCAAATTCTCATACGCATATTTCGCTTTTTTATAAATACGAGCGAATACTTTTGCTTCTAGCCTAGACTCATAAAAAATAAAATAAAAATTAATCTCGGGATTTGAGGCATATCCACTTTATTCTTTCGCTGTATGAAATCAGTGTGAGTACATGAATAACTCTACCTAATTCCGACCACTGCTTATGATAAAGAGCTGGTAAGTTTGTTTCGCTTGTTATTCTTGTCAGAAAAAGTCCTGAACAAGTGGTAGGGGAAAAGTTGGACGATTCAAAAGTACTTTTAAGAAGTCTATTTAAATAAAGATTATTTTGACTTTGAAAGTAGAATACCCTATTCATTCAGTAAACAAATTAGAAACATTTTACCTTAGTAATAGTGAGTACTAGGTCAGTAGATGTGGCCATCGGATTAAGTTCACCGACTAATTTGTATCCCACAACTTTGGGTAGTAGCATACTGATAGCTTGACCCAACATAACAGCCTCCGCTTCGATGCCTGGTTGAAGGAAATATGTTTTTTTTTAGTTGGTGTATCTAAATGGTGTATAATTTGTTTCTGACATCACGATGTAGAACAAATGCTGGTAAAAGATATCCACTATATCAATTAGTTAACAACTTTAAGTCATATTTTAATAATATTGACATATTAATAAGTAACCCTATACTCCATTCATTATAGCATTAGACAGAAGTGAAATAAGGTTCTTTTTATGGTATACTTTGTGACAAAATATCAATAATCATGTTACTTTTAAGGCTGACGGCTAATTTGCTACATATTCACTTAAATATCAGCTGCTATACTTAACTGTTGTCATTTAAGCTATCTTTTAAACAAATTTATGAGTATATGACTAACTTAAATGTTTTAATAACTATTACAATAAAAAGTGTTCATCGTAAAGAACCTAAAGAAGCAGGGTTGGATAGTTTCGGCACGATTCACATGTCACTATAACTCTACCACATTTAAAACGTTGCCTAACCCCTTCAAACGTTTCGGTAGCACAGCTTTTTAATTTTGTCAGACTATTATTTATTCATAATTGTTAAAATTGTAATCTGGAATTGACATCCATTCTAAATGCTACTGGAAAAAATTAAAATAAAATTAAAAAATGGAAAATTGCCCAGCTCTTTCGGACTAACTAACGTTTAAAGTTTCAACAAAACTAATATAGATTTTTTAAATTTATCTTGAAAATAAAATGTTCTGTACTGCTGCTTCTATGACCCTCTTTTTTCTAATTTTATAGTGAATGGAGTACAGTAATTTCAAAAGACAAGTACTGGATACCTTGCCCAATTAATTTTTGTTTTGTGCCTTTACAAGGTATTGTCAATTATACTGCTAAATTGTAAGATTTTAATTTATAGTTAAATGCTCTGCTATAAATTTTAAGAAAACTTGTTGTGCGATCGCTTTTAAGCTGGTTATGTTTTAATCATTATGTGGTGAACGGTGTTGGTGTGCAATTATATCTCATCTGTTTCACTTTGTAAGTTTAATGTAAATTGTATCACTGTTTGTTTACCCGTGAAAATAAACAAAAAATAAAAAAATCTATAACAATTTTCCTAATCAGATAAAAAACTGATATTAACTTAACTCAGAAAGCAGTTTTATAAATTCAAATCAATAAAAGCTTTATTTGTTTAAAATGTCTGACAAATTATATTATAAAAAGATAAGTTATTATATGAAGTGGATGTTTTTTTTTATTTTTTTATTATTTAAATTAATTACAAGTTATTAGTTTACATACTTTGCTGGATAGAGGACGTGCATATTTTTTGAAATACAAAAATATAAAAAATGTAAAATGTAATTGATAATAAGGAAGTATTAAAAAAAACGAAAGCACTAAAAAAGCACCTCCACTAGATGGCGACTCTAGCAAAAGTTAATTTTTGCAGGAAACAAAAATAGTCAATTCCTTTCCTTTCAACTAACATATTAAAAAAATTAAATTTGCAAAGTTCGAAACTTAATAGGATATGAGTTGTTTATTGAGTTTTGAAAACTAATTTACTTTTATACATGAAAGAAAACCGGAAGGGTTGTCATGGAGAAATCAAGAAAGTACCGTAGCGACATCTAGTTTAATTTCGGGAACTAATGTATTTTTTTTTAATACTTCCTCATTGGGAATAATAATAATGATTACATATAATTGACATTAGTTAGTATTTAAATTATTATTTGGGAATGATGCTGATGTTTGAAAGTTATTTCTTTGATTTTTTACAATTTATGTTCTTTTCTATAATTGATAATTCTTTAGTTCTATGGACTAGATTGGGTTGGGTAAGGGACTGGGGTTGATGTGCTCTATGATGCCCTGCTATGTGTGTTACAGATATTGGGAGCTTTTCACTGAGAACCAGAGGGTGCCTTAGCTTTCTTATTAGTGCTTTTATCATTGGTGGAGTGAATTGTTGGTGTAGTCTATTAGACAAGGCGTACTTAAAAAAATATATATGTTTATAGGTCAAACAGTAGGCGAGGAATCTCAGAATAACAAGATCTCAGTGTTGCGGGATCAGATGGTGCTAGATCTCAGTACTGTGGGATAAGATGGTGTGACATCTTAGTACTGGGGGATTGTATGGTACGGGAAATTTCAGTATTGCGGGATTAGATGGTATGAAATCTCAGTAATTCGGGATTGAATGGTATGGAATCTCAAAATAGCGGGATTGGATGGTATGAAATCTCAGTGTTTCGGGATTGGATGATATGGAACCTCAGTATTGCGGGATTGGATGGTATAAAATCTCAGTATTACGAGTTTAGATGGTATGTAACCTCAGTATTGCGGGTTTGGATGGTATGGAACCTCAGTATTACGGGATTGGATGGTATGAAATCTCAATGTTTCGGGATTGGACGGTATGGAACCCCAGTATTGCGGGATTGGATGGTACGGAATCTCAGTACTGCGGAATCAAATTGGGTGGAATATACTTAATAAGTTTATTTAAATAATATTACATAGTTAATCCCACTATAGATCCTATCGGATCGGATATTAATAAAAAGGGGGAGTACTAGTTTTTATTATTGTAATTTATAAATAAATAAATAATACATAATTACAAATTTTCAATTTCGCTATTATCATTATATTATATTTGGTATTATTATTAAATTTTGTTAATCATCCATCGATTCATTTTAAATATAAATAAATTACTTCTCTATTATGTAAAATAAAATATAATATGTATAATATTATTATTGGATGGTTAAATATTAATGTAAGTCTACTGTATTCATCTCTTGGGGCCGTTCATTTGCTGTTATTGCAGTGGATAAAGTTGTCCTTGGTCATGGCAACAGCATTAGTGAATTAGATTTGAATCCAAGACAAAATGTCGTAGAACTATGCTGTTGTCATGTATGAAATAAGCTTGCTAAGTAATTTGCATGCCCATATTATTTTTTTTTTAATCTTATTTTCTTATGAAGCTTGCCGTGGCAAGCTATAATTGAGAGTTCACTTCAATATATGAACATGCAAGTAACTAATGTAACAATTTAAGTGAATGTCTTGTTGGTTGTCCAATAAATAATAAAAAAATAAAAAATCTTAGAAAATCCTATGGCGTGGATTATCAGCGTTGCGGGATCAGAATCCCTAGTGAGTACACTAACCTCCTACTCCCCAGCCGACGACTCCTAGACCATTGATCATAGTTGTGTGACTGTCTGTCCCCACCACAGAGTCCGGATGCAACACGTCGTTAGTGAAGACCACGCGAGCTAGATACTCCAAGTTCACCTGGAGACATAACCGAATGTAACCACTGCTGGGGCTCAGGGCTTCTCTATGATTACCGGATAGGGACAATGGGTTATCACCCATCACTCGGGCCGATTGGTGGGTGTTAATGGCTTAACGTGAGTTGCGAAGCATGGAGCGTGAGATACAAAATTTTTTGGTCACCCATCCTGTAATCGGCCATTGTGGAAGTTGCTGTACAATATATCGCAGACAAATAGTAATACTAAAACAATACTAATATACAATGATGACCTTCGTAGCTGAGTGGTTCGCACGTCCCTTTATCCCGACATCTATATGATTCGCGTAGTTTCAACAGTGTTAGCGCGAGTCAGCGGCGCATAACGCCATCTAGTAACGAGCTGACGAACATATTTATTTATTAACTAGCTTTCCGCCAGCGGCTTCGCCCGCACTCTTGTATTATACATAAAAACCTTCCTTTTGAATACCCTATCAATGAAAACAAAAACCGCATCAAAGTCCGTGGCGTAGTTTTAAATATTTAAGCATACATACGGATATAGGGACAGAGGAAGCGACTTTGTTTTATACTATGTAGTGATACTCATACATTCATTCATACCATTTGGACAGTAATTTAATATTTTAAAAAGCTATTATATAGGGTATGTTCCGATATACACTGCGAGCACTGCGCAGTGGTCTTACTGCTGAAAAATCCGTTCCGTTATGGACTGCCAGTACACTGCTACAGTACCCTAGGGAAATTTATGACGTCATAAATTGCCGCCATATTTGTACTGTGAGCACTGGAGATTTCGAGGTAAGGTGCTCGCAGTGCTTTTGACCACGTGATCAGTCGAAACAGATAAAATAAAATACTTACGTTTATTATAAGATTGATTTGATTGATAAATAATTTTTTTATATAATTTTCCAATTTTATAATATTTTCTTTTGAAAAGAAGGAATCTTTATATTTATATTTAACAAATTTGAAAATGGCGCCAAAAAATAGGATTAACAGTATACTGGACTGCGTTCCGTTTTAAAAAGTCACCAGTATAGGTAACTAGCTATAAAGGAACGGGCTTCCGGTATACTAAATTGACGTCATACTGTTCAGTGGTCGCAGTGTATATCGGAACATACCCATAACCGTTATAATTACTACTGTTAATTACCTGGTGTACTATTCCGGACCCAGGCGGTACTATCAACATATTATCGAATGCTTGAGCACCCCACTGAAAAAGAAACAACATAAAATTAAGAAATAGTAATTTAAAAAAAAGCTTTATTAACATTAAGCATCTTAACAATGTATTGAAACAGCCTTTTAAAGTAGTTTTAAAGAAAAACAAATTTATTAAGCTTGTTTCGTTCCAAATAATAATAATACGTAATATAATGCAAATATAAGCTGTTTTCCTTACCTATAAGCAGAGGTCGGAATTAGGTAGAGTTATTTATGTACTTGCATCGAAATGTTGATATTAATGTGGACCTTCGTGACAACATCGCGCGTATTGGTATTTTGCAACTTTGGACATCCGATGTCATTGATGTAAGTTTGGCAACGTCGTGCGTGCAGTAGTTTAAATTGTGTAAAAGTAAATATCTTTTTATTAAAAAAATCCCGGGATTTTTTCTGCTCTTTAAAATTAATCTCGGGATTTGAGGCATATCCACTTTATTCTTTCGCTGAATGAAATCCGTGTAAGTACATGAATAACTCTACCTAATTCCGACCACTGCCTATAAGTAACAACAATTTAACTTTTGCTAATCCAGTTTTTCGTATGTGTAGAGCTTACAATAATATTAGTAAAGACTTGGACATATTTTCCCAAAACTTACCCATTTTCTTGCGCACGTGTGATCTTAAAATAAATTCATAATAATTGCCTGTGTTGTCTAATATAAGTTGTATTCTTGAAGTGTTGTGCGTAGCTATTAGGGTTACCACCCGTACTTTATAATAAAGTATTGTACGTTATTTCAAACAATTGTACTCTATACTCTATAAGAAAAATAAAGTACACGAAAATACTTTATGTCGTATGATTTGATTTGTTTGTGATTTTGAAGCTTAGTCGTAAGTATTTTTTCGTTAAAAAAAAAATTATCGATTCATGCTGAATCGATAAATAAAAAGAAAATGTATTTTTAAGTTTAGTAATAAAGAAAAATAAATAAAACTTTATTTTGATTCAATTTACTTTGTTTTTGTACCTATAATAACTAATGTACTTTATTTGGGGGAAAAAAGGTGGCAACCCTAGTAGCTATAATCGGGGGACAAACTTAGTGCTACACTATAACATTTTGTAATATTGTATTATATGGTTTGTTTTCTGTAGCTGTGCCTTTATAATAAAATAAAATAAATAAAAATAATAAAAGATATCGGGATACAGGCCTCCATTAACTGTTTGCCTGTCTTTAATAATGATAATAATAATAATATGTAATAACCAGTGGTCGGAATTAGGTAGAGTTATTCATGTACTTACACTGATTTCATACAGCGAAAGAATAAAGTGGATATGCCTCAAATCCCGAGATTAATATTTTTTTTTTTATGAGTCTAGGCTAGAAGCAAAAGTATTCGCTCGTATTTATAAAAAAAGGCGAAATATGCGTATAATTTGTATTGTAAACTAATAAAAAATTTATGTTAATTATCTTTGTTTTATTTGTCTATCTCTGACGTTGTTAATATTATTTAGTTGTAAGATTGTTGGCCACACGGGATTGTCCATTAGAAATCACGGGAAGGTCCACATTAATATCAACATTTCGATGCAAGTACATAAATAACTCTACCTAATTCCGACCTCTGGTAATAACTGTAGCAAATGTTGGAAGTCAATGATGTGCGAATAAAATAATAATAAGATTAATGTATGAAAAGGTTATAATGTAAATTAATTATTAAAATTAATAATATTTTACATATTAAAAGTATTGCAAACTGTCATACGGTAAATATGTTATAACCTTATGCAATGATATCTGTTGTACGCGCACCATATTTTATGCAATAATATGAATATTTAATTCAAAATAATTATAGATTGATATTTTTTTTTGTTTTCAAATGAAGTACACTGTAGATTGAACTACGATTTGAGTTCAGCCCATTTAGCCATCAGCGATAGCATGCAAATATTGATACAATTACAAAGTCATATGTCCAATGGCAAAATTATTAAATTTTAAATATCATTATTACATAAAACTATTATTGAATACAATTATTATAACCACTTGGAAAATATCAAACGAATTAAAATTTAAAATCAATACAAATATAAAAGTAGATAATGTCAGATTAAAAGAAAAAACAATAAAATAGCCATACATTTTAGATGACTAATTTTTGTTTGTTTGTCCGTCAGGTAGACTGTTAAAAAATATTAAACACGAATTATTAATTTTTTTTGGAAATATAAAATTACGGCGTTACATTGGGTTGAAGTTTTGCATGACGTCACGTTAGAGTACGTTTTCTACTCAACTGTGACGTAGCGAGCCCCCACTCCTCAACTTAAATGCCTGTTATCTAAGCTATTTCTTGTTAAATTGAAGTAAAAAAAAAAGTATCTAATATTTTTCTATTATCCGACTGACGGACTAAATAGAATTGCATTTTTTTTACCCAGTCGTCATCCCTATTCTCAGCACATGCATTCGTTACTTGTTTTTATGATTTAAATATTCAAAAACAATATAAAAAGCATTATCAGACAACTATATAAATATATAAAAGAGCTTTTTTGAAGCTATTTAATGGAATATTCTTAATGTTAAGTGCGATATTATTAAAAGTACAATACACATCCAATAACTTTTATTCTGGAATCGCGCGTTCATTGAAATAATATCAGATACCGATCTATCACAATTTCTGGTATTGCGTATATATACATTTTTTGCCCGTTCAAAGTTTTTTTTTTTCTTTATAAAAAGGAGGGCAAATGACTGCGCTCCACCTGATGGTAAGCGGAGGCGTAGTCCAAACGCGAGGACAGCTAGTGAAAACAGTACGTAGGTACTGCACTAGCCAACCTCACCTTGCCGACCTGCAAGGTGCTTCTTCACGCCCCGTAAGTAACGTAAGTAAAAAAAGCTTTGCAGTATACAATATTATTTTATTTTATTTTATTTTATTTTATTTTATTAGGAAAACAAACAGTGATAATAAATCTAGTACAAAATACTGTAACGATTACAGTTCACCAATTACATGCTTTCACTTATAAAATTATTGTTTTATAACGCTTTAATAATGTGAAGAATTCTATATAAAAGAAAAAAGAAATAATAATAATGCAATTGTTAACCTCTTAAGTAACTCAATTTATCTTTTTATTGTGTGGGAACCGACTCTAGCCAAAAGTCTAATACGGCCTTTCTGAAAGCAGCTGAATTTGAACAGAAAATGTCCACATCTGAAAAGCCAGTCAGCCGATTGAAAGCTTTTGCCGACCTAATAAAATATGAGTTTTTTCTATAATTTGTACCACTGCGTGCAATGGTAAATGTTGGTTGAAGTCTTATTGACTTATTAGGGACTCGCAATTGAAGTTTAGAAAGAAGGTATGGGGAATCTATTTTTGATTGGGCAATTTTGCCCAAGAGAACTATGTCTGAGGTTGTCCTTCTTGTTTGTAATGGCAATATGTGGTGTTTTCTACATCTTGTCTCATAGTTGACGTCAAACACTTTGCATTTGTACTGTAGAAATTTCATGAATTTTCGCTGTATGGCCTCAAGTCTATTTATGTGAACATCGTAAAGTGGATTCCAGATCTGGGAACCATACTCCAGTATACTGCGGACGTATGAACAGTAAAGGACTTTTAATACTTTTATACTTGTAAACTGAGAACATGATCTGAGAACGAAACCCAACATTTTGTATGCTCTTTTGGCTATATAATCTATGTGAGCAGCATAACAGAGCTTACTATCGTGTATTACCCCCAGATCTCTGACTTCATGAACTCTTTTAAGTTTAATTTGCTTCAATAAATAATCATAATCAATATATTTATGCTTGCGAGTGAATGTTATGAAATGACACTTACCTATGTTAAGTTCTAATTTATTCAAACTGCAGTATTTTTCAAACCTAGCAAGGTCCTGTTGTAGCATAAAACTATCGTGAACCGTGTTTATTTGCTTAAATATTTTTAAATCATCTGCATATAGTAAGAAATTAGAGTGTAGGAAACAAAACCTTATATCATTTATAAAGATATTAAATATCAAAGGCCCAATCAAGGAGCCCTGGGGAACCCCAGAAGGTATACTATGCCATGCAGAGACAAAACCGTTAATTGCCACAGCCTGAGAACGGTTATGTATATAAGATGAAAACCATCTAAATAAGTTTCCGTGTATTCCTGCAGCTAGAAGCTTCTGTAGAAGAATTTTATGGTCAATTCGATCGAATGCTTTGGAGTAATCAGTAAATACAGCATCCACTTGACTGCCAGAGTCCATGCATGAGGTTGTGAATTCGACGAAGGTCAACAGATTCGAAGTAGTTGATCTCTTTTTAAGGAAACCATGTTGTTCTTCGATAAAGAAGTTCGACAAAGAATCATATACCTGAGAATGTACAATCCGTTCGAAAATTTTCGCGAATAAGCATAATTTAGAGATAGGCCTATAGTTCTCCACATATCCTCTATCCCCACTTTTGTGAATTGGGGTGATGAAAGCAGATTTCCATATATTTGGAACAATACCTTCGTTTAGTGATCGCCGAAACAGAATCGTTAAGGGTTTGAGCAGGCTCTTAGCGCATCTAAAGATAAAAATTGGAGATATGTGATCAGGTCCTGGTCCTTTAGTTTGATCTATTGCCTCCAATAATTTAAACAAAGTCTTCTGGTCAATTTCGACGTCATTTATACTATTTTTACATCCGTGTGAGTTGACATGATCGTTGGATGTAAGATCATCATAACTTTGAGGAAGAAATGTCGATTGAAAATATGCGGCAAAGAGATTGCAAACCTCTTCACCATTATCAACAGTCCGACCTTTGTATGTTAATGTTGAGGGCAGCGATTGATTATTATTTTTGTTATATTTGACATAGCTCCAAAAAAGTTTGGGGTTATTGGTTATTGCATTTTCACATTTATCTAGATAATCTAGGTAACACTCCTTTTCTATAATTTTAGCTCTCTTACGGAGCAGAGAAAATGTCTGATAGTCGTCAGTGTTGCCATATATGCGATATTTATTTAGATATTTGCGTTTTTCTTTCAAGATTTTCCTTAGGGACGAGTTGTACCAGGGCGGGTAATTAGTTTGCTGAGTATTTTTGTGTGGTATATGTTTATCTACTAATTCATATAATGTATTGTAAAAAAGATCAACTGATTCTTCCAATGAATTATCCTTTAAACAATCCTCCCAATCCATCTTATTCAATAAGTAATTAATTTTTTCATAATCTCCGGAACGATAAAAATATAACTTTCTAGGGCTCACCCCAAGGGGTTCGGTAAATAGACAATTCATATTCACGACGAGCGACTTATGATGCGCATCCTCATGCACCAAAGGATCCGGACACGATGATACAGATAATTCCTCATTACTAAGAACTAGGTCTAAAATTCTATTATTAACATTTTTACACGGGTTAAATTGCGCCAAATTACATTCAGAAAGCGTATCTATAAAATGAACTTGCGATGCCCCGGAAATGCCTGACGGTAACATAGGATAATTATTCGTCCAGTCTATATTGCTCAAATTAAAATCACCCATTATTATGAATGTATCATTTGGACATAACTGAACAATCCGTGACAAGTTATCTGTGAAGTTAGTAAGTTGCAGATTATATGAATTACCATGCTTTTCATTACATAGGTATAGTGTACATATATGTATTTTTTTGGCACCTATTTTATTTTTGTATGTAATTGTAACCCAGATATCCTCGGCCGAAGAGATCCAATCAGGTTTAGGCGATGCTGAGAATTCACGCTTTATAGCTAAAAGCACTCCGCCTCCAAATTTTTCATGAGTAGTGTTGTAATTTCTATCACGTCGCCAAACTAAGTACCTATCATCAAAGAGCTCACTATCATTAATACCATCCAGAAGCCAAGTCTCTGTTAAAGACACAACATCATACGAATTGATAAGAAGGTTTCGCTTAAAAATATGTGTTTTAGTGCGCAACCCGCGCGTATTTTGGTAATATATATTAAGGCCAGTTTCAATATAAGCAGTAAAAGCTACAAATTCCTTGACTACAGTAATTAAAGTTCAAAGACAAGTGTCCAGTACGTGTCCACAATATACAGATATAACAGACGTGCCTCAATAAAACCATAAATAAACGACACATTCTGTTGCAATGCAATTCGAAAATAATTAAAATTGCCATTAAAGTATTAATTTCATCTGTAAAATATAATAGATATTTTATGAAGTTATCCCAAGTAATAATTGATTTAATTAATACGATATATTTTTTTCCTAAATCAGTTAAAGATTTATTTATATTCCGAAAGAAATATGTAAATAACCAAAACAAATTCATTGCTTTCAAACCCAAAAACAAATATAAACTTACAATCTTGTCATACCCTTTTACATTCGGTATAGTTATAACGATATAAAAACAATTGAAGGCAGCAAACCACATAACTATTTTAAAAAAGGGATAAATATAAAACCAGTACGTTTTAGCCATAATAAGACCCGAACAAGCTTCATGACATATCGAATAAAGTTTAAAAAGCCAAAAACTCAGCTTATGTATGAAAAAGTGTGTTAAAGTAACAAAAGATGAGGTATATCTACAAAAGTGATTACGAATGCCTAGCAACAAATGCATTTTTGATGTAAGCAAAAATAAGCTTAAGTATTCTACACTACAAGCGATTTTAACCGCGGATATAAAGTATATTAGTTGAAATAAGGTTGAATTCCATAATATTTGTAGTTTACTCACGTCGCACAGCTGACTGACCGTCTCGCAGTGAACAATAGAAAATACTCGTGGGGCCGGTTTACAATAGGTGTCGGCCTTGAGTGTGGTTCCCAAACTGTTTATAAATAATGTATAGAAAATGTGAAATTTAAATAAATTAAGGAATGCACACTTCATTAGAATTATTTGATCCTCTCCAAGTCCCTTTCGCACTTTATAAAAAATACTTGTGAGTTATCCGATTTGCGGGCCATGATTTTACAGTGTTTCACCCAGATGTACCGGAAGTTATTTTCTTTTGCCAATTTTTTAGCTTTACCAAGTAACGTTTTATTACACGGTGTAAGGTGATCATTCACAAAAATGTTAGCTGACGATGTCATTGAAAAACCTAAATTTGAAGCATTCATATTCTTACTTTTCTTAGCCAATGCAACAAACTCTTCTTTTAAGTAGCGGTTATTAAATGCCACCAATATTGGTTTATCAGCATTGGGCACACGGGTAGGCATGCGCGCGATATAATTCACATCTTCCTTCCGGAAGGAGAAGTTGCATAGGGCTGCAATTTTTTGTGAGATATCGTACAGGTTCTCGTTTTGTTTTAGAGGAATTCCTTTAATCTCCACATTATTGGCTCGGGTCCATTGATCTCGTTCTTGTAGCTCGCGATTGAGTTTTTCGATTTCTGCCCGTAAAAGAGGAACCTCATTAACAGTTTTTTCTACCTTTACTATTCTGGTTTCTAATTTCTTGACAACGTCTGAGAAGTTATTGATAAGCTCATGAGCCATGTTGAGTGATTCTTGAATACTGCCCATCTCTTCCTTGATTGATCTCACATCTTCCACGAGAGACGCAAGAGGTGCCAGCTGGAGCATAATTATGTTAAATTTTTCCTGGATTTTTTCATGCTGTAACAATTGCGGAGACGTTGGTACTGGGGATGGCAATGGGCTGGATTTACATTTAGGGCAGCGCCAATTACTCTTTCTATCACCGAGTTTGCGGAAGCCTCCCTCCGAGATTCCAGCACATTGAAAGTCGAATTGACCCTTGCATATGTTACATATTGGGCCCCCATTGTGTTGACTACCACAACTTGCACAAGCGAACATAGTTTAAAAGAAACTTTGAGAACCGCTGATTTTACTTATGAAGATGAACAAGCGTGTGTACTACTAGCTGGCCGAACGGCGACTATATGTAAGTATAGTTTATAAAATTCATTATTAACTAGCTGACCCGGCGAACTTCGTACCTTCGTATTTCTCCAGTCGCGACTGAGGTTTTTTTATAAATTTTCTTAAAAATACACATAGAAAAGAATTATCCGATTTGCTGCAGTAGTTTGGAAGTTATGCGCGCACATACACTTCGACAATTCATTTTCATATATACATTTTTACGTTTAGCTGATTATATTTGGCATTTTTTCATAAAATATATTATATAGTTCGAAATGACAACTTTTTTGCTCACTGTACTTTACATTATAGTAAAAGGGCTTATTCTGGCCTCGAACGGAAATTCGTAAATATTTTGTATTCGATCTTACAATTTTTTTAAAATCATATCACTTTATTTCTATCATAATAGCTACATATAATGTCATTCTAGCTATTAACATAATAGCTACAAGATATTATAATACCTACAAGATATAATGTAATTACATGTTAGAATTAACATGTAATTACATTAGACTTAAAGCTAATTCATAAATGTCGTAGCCGTCGTGAGAGAGCGAAACCTGTACTAGGATATCCTGTATGACAGAGTTTCGGCAACCCTCCATATCCGCAAAATGTGTTTTTTTGGAGTCTTATTATGCCCGTTTTTACTAAACTTAGGAGTCGCCTATATATTTAGGAATCGCCTAATTTTAAAATGCTTTTCACCATTAACTAACCTAACGAAACCTAAGCGGCGCCTTGCTAGTTAGTTATTTGCGTATCATAAATATGGCAATTCATAATATAAGCCGTTTCTTAGTTAAGCTATGCCTTGTTCTAGGTTAGTGTAAATGGGTGTTAGCGTTTTGAATATCGGCGAAATGAGGAAGTATTAAAAAAAAAAACGAAAGCACTAAAAAGCACCTCCACTAGATGGCGACTCTAGCAAAAGTTGATTTTTGCAGGAAACGAATGGACCAAAGACAGTCATTTCCGTTCCTTTTAACTAACGTATTAAAAAACTGAAATTTGCAAAGTTCGAAACTTAGATGTCAATACAAATACGAAAAAGTACAAATAGAATATGAGTTGTTTATTGAGTTTTGAAAACTAATTTACTTTTAAACATGAAAGAAAACCGGAAGGGTTGTCATGGAGAAATCAAAAATGTACCCTAGCGACATCTAGTTTGATTTCGGGAACTTTTTTTTTCTTTTTAATTTTTCCTCATTTTTATTTTCGCAGAAACAGAAGAGATCATTAGGTGTCATTCTAATTCGTCAGAGTTGTAGTACAGTTTGTTAATAATTATAACACTTACTTTTAAGAATTGGAATCTTTCTTTGTTCCTTTCGAATTCTAATTCTTGGTTTTTGTTCAACGCATCAGGTCTGAAACAAGTTTTTAAATTTAATGGACACTTTCTTTTGTTAAGTGTTACACCAGTATCATGGTACTGTCATATCTCAAGATTCCCTTTTGCATCGCCACTGCAGGGGCTCTGGCCTTCCTTATTAATGGTTAAGCAGGTGGGCCATGACCCTTCATACTGACCCAATGCGGATTGGAGGTTATTAGTGACTGCAAATGCAACCGGAAACAGCGGCTTAACGTGCCTTCCGAAGCACGTAGTAGCTCGAGATAATAATTTTTTGGTCACCCATCCCGTGACCGACCCTAGTGAAAGTTGCTTAACGACAACGATCTAGGGCCGCGGCGCCTATCCACTACACCACCGAGCTACTCGCTAGTATGTTAAGTAGGAACAAAATTAAACTAATATTAAGAATTAGGTCGGGTAACATTCCATCTAGGAAATTTTCATTTATGATGAAAGAAGCAACCTCGCCTAATTGCGAAGTATGTAAACAGATCGAGGATGTTACTCATCTCCTGATGGAATGTGAACGGAACAAAACAGAAAGTGAGTTGTTTTTAAACATTCGGAGTACCTATAGTGAGTGCCTATGTAGTTTGGTGGAGCAATTATTCACAAATCTACTCAGATAGAAAACTAAATAGTATGTATTTTTTTTGTATCGATGGGGCTGTCGTGTTTTAAAGACAAAAGCCCCAAAAAAAATCTCAGAGTGCCGGGATTTTTTTAACATTTTTCATTAAAAATATTTTTTTAGTATAGCATTCAAAATTGATCAAATACAATAAATATATAAATGATTTCTTTTAAACTAATTATATCTCAAAATTATTTATTGCCATTATAATGTTATCATTATAAGATCATAGTTTTCTCTCTCTCTCTATAGCCGTAGCCGAGTGGTTCGCACGCCGGTTTCAAGGTATCGCCATCTCTGAGGTCCCGGGTTCGATTCCCGGTCGGGTCAATGTAGAAAATGAACTTTTCTATATTGACTCGGGGTCTGGGTGTTGTGGTACCTTCGTTGTCTCAGATACTCCATAATACGGGGGCTTTAGCTACTCATCTTGGAATCTGAGCAATGTATGAGATGTTATTAAATATTTATTTATTTATAATGTATTGATCTGGTAAAGACATGGTTTTTGTAAATGTCATTACTCTTATTAGAGCTGGTGAGTTTCTTGCTCGTTCTTCTTATCAGCCAACAGACGTCCTGAACGAGTGGTAGGGGAAAAATGTTGGACTATTCAAAAGTACTTTTAAGAAGTCTATTTGATAAATAAAACATATTTTGAATAAATCTTAGTTTGTCCTTTGTTTTCCGAAAAGGTTAAATCCAGGCCCGGATCTGCCATTTCTTAAACGGAGCAGAATGTATGGCGTTCTTCCTCCCCTCCCCCCATACGATCCATGAAGCCATGATTTATGAGCCTATCATCTGTACGAAAATATTTGTGAAGCTGAAACAGTTTGAGAATCACTGATATCCTATGAGTATGGGTGATTGTGATATCTTTACTCACGATCTAGCGAAGTCCACTTGCACAGAGTGATCAATTACCAGATCAGCTGGACATATCGGGTTGATCTTATGAGGATCGCCGCCAAGGTCTTTGACGGCATCACGCATTGCAGCGAAGTCTACTACAGCCGGTACACCTGTGAGGTCCTGGCGGGGATAATATACAAAATATTTATACGTAAATACTTTTAATGAAAAATGCTTAGTGATACTCGAACCCAGGACTTTTCGCAATTCGGGCGAAGGCTCTAAAGAGTACAGTCGCGGTCCGAGTCCCATCTCGTCGCCCGGATTCCGAAAGGTCAAGGGTTAGCTCAGTGGCGTAGATAAGCGCTGCGGCCCGCGATCGTAGTCGTTAAGCAACTTTCGCAAAGGTCGGTAACGGGATGGGTGGACGAAAAATTATTATCTCGAGCTACTCCGTGCTTCGGCAGGCACGTTAAGCCGTTGGTCCTGGCTACATTTGCAGTCGTTAGTACCCGCCAATCAGCATGGCCCATCCTCCTTAACCATCCATAAGGAAGGCCTGAGCCCCTGCCGTAGGAACTTAAAAGGGCTGATAAATATGAATCAATAATCTACAGAAAAACTCCGCCACGTATAAAAGTTCGAAGTCGGCTCAAATTAAAAAAAAAACATATTTTTTTTAATATATATAATTATTTCTTGAACATAGAAAATTCTCCATGCGGATTTTGAAACAATACATTGTACGCTATCTTTTGTTTTGCCGCTGATATAAACATGTCATCTAAACTTTTCGGTAATATTTAGTGAAAGGCATTTTTTTTTTATTATCAAAACAAAACTCGATTTCGATCAAATTTATATGGGACCAAATCGGGCCAATAAGCTGTCTAAAAAAAGAGAATCATTATTATAGGTTCATAAACGACGAAGTTATCCGGAAACAAACAAGCACATAATATGGTCGTACAAAAAAATCCTCTTTTAAAGTCGGTTGAAAACAGAAGCAATTTCGTTTTCAGATAAATAAAATAGGCCAGTGTCATATTAATTCGTACGAGTAGTTAATCAATTATTCGCATTCTATTCCACTTATTACTCTGAGTAAGAAAATAGGTTGTTTTTTTCTCAGTTATGAATAACTTGACGTGTCGTTGTCTGTACAAACAGTGGCCAAAGTACAAGGCTTTAAACAATGTAAATATAAACAATGGACGTGTGTAAAAAACATGAGTTATACAAAAATATGTTCTTTTGTATTATTTTCAACATAAGATTGCTTAAAAGGCAACGTATACCAAAAAACACTTACTTTTAACTTGTTTTGTACAAAAGAATGATGACGTCATAATAAGCCATCATTGATAAGAAAATCACGTGACATTTCTAAGGGTTTTATACCAAAACGAAGATTTATTAAAAAAAAAAACTTAAAAATTCGCCATTTTTTCGTTTTAACTTTTCCTTTTTTTTATTAAATATACAAGTAACATTACGTATTTAAGACGATGTCATATAAACTCTTTGTTTTGTTGTAAATCGTCATTATAGGTAGAGTAAATAATAATACAAAAAATATTTTGTTAAATTTAAATTAGTAGATTTCTACAAAACTGTGACGGAGCGAGCCCCCACTCCTCAACTTTAATACCTATTATCTAAGCCCATTTCATCACTACATAGTATAAAACAAAGTCGCTTTCTCTGTCCCTATATCTATCTGTATGCTTAAATCTTTAAAACTACGCAACGGATTTTGATGCGGTTTTGTTTCATAGATAGGGTGATTCAAAAGGAAGGTTTTTTGTATATAACAAAACCACGCGGACGAAGCCGCTGGCGGAAAGCTAGTAAATAAATAAAGTAAAATCCAAAGAAAAAAAAATTCTAGGGAAATTAATTTATATTACATTATTACTTGCCTCAACGAGAAAGACAGAGAGAAAAAATCGTTTTAAGTAGGTGCATGTTAGCTTGGTCTGGGTAACCTGGATTTCCTTGCCAGATACCAGGTCCCAGACCCTTGTGAGGGTAATACGGGGGGTTTTGCACGGTAGGCCTGCTGTAGATAGGGGTTCTTTAACCTCCGCAGCAGGAGAGCCCGGGTTCAGGCGGCCTCTCATCAAGGTTGATGGCATGTTAAGGTCAGTTACCCTCGGTACAAAAAAAAAAGGTGCATGTTAGCTAGAATTTGAGACCCCAAAGTCTTTCTATAATTAGACGCAACGCAACTACATATGTGTACGTACACACGTAAAAGTTAATAACCTTGACCAGACTAGTATAATACTTTGTAACGCAGTATGTTAATACGGAGGTGTGTCTCCATAATGTGTTTTAATTTGTTATATAACCTTAACAGTTCGTTTGAAATTGATATTATATAGACTGTATCATTACCAGAGGTCGGAATTAGGTAGAGTTATTTATGTACTTGCAACGAAATGTTGATATTAATGTGGACCTTTCCGGGATTTCTTTATTTCTTTCTTTCATTAATGTAAGTTTGGCAACGTCTTGCGTGCAGTAGTTTAAATTGTGTAAAAGTAAATAACTTTTTATTTAAAAAATCACGGGATTTTTTCTGCTCTTTAAAATTAATCTCGGAATTTGAGGCATATCCACTTTATTCTTTCGCTGTATGAAATCAGTGTAAGTACATGAATAACTCTACCTAATTCCGACCACAGATCATTACAGATAAATAAATAATTAATATTGTCAAATTCTTATATTTTCATGCGCACTATATAAATATGTATGCATTTATATTATATCCTTCTCAAATGTCCAATAAAAAAAAGTCAAAGAACTTAAAAAAAATTTGAACCGATTTGAAATTTAAAAAAGTGAAAAATAATACTTATCTTAAAAGCAGTTAAATGTTTTAACAAACATTGAATTCGGGGAGTGGTTTTCTGTAGTTAATTAAATATTAACCGGTTTTTTTTATTATTAAAAAGTTTTAATTTCATGCATTTTAGTGATATTTGAGTTTAGGGGTAACAAACATTAGGCAAACTTAATGCAAATTTCAGACTTATATGGTTTTCTCATAAATGCCATTGCAGATCTGGACTAAATTAAAATGGGACCACTCGGCAAGCACTAGCTTTCAAATAAACAAAGGATCATCATAATCGGTCAACCCAGTAAAAAGTTGTGAGGTAACAAACAAAAAAAAATTAGTCGAACTGAGAACATCCTTTTTTTAAGTCGGTTAAAAAACAAAGAAAGACGCTTTCGATTGAAAAACCGACCAAGCGCTAGACGGACTCGCACACGAAGGGTTCCGTTCCGAAAACAAGCAAAAATATCACTTTTATGGGAGCCCTTTTAAATATTTATTTTATTATGTTATTTAGTTTTTATTGTTATAGCGGCTACAGAAATACATCATATGTGAAAACCTTAATTGTTTAATTATCACGGTTCGAGAGGTACAGCTTAATGACAGACGGACGGACAGCTAAGTCTTAGTTAAGGACAATGGACAGAAGTCGGCCAAAATTGCGCTCTACACATTTATTTATAAAAAAAAAAAACTTCTCTTTAATTATGATTAATTCTACGTAAATACTATTTGCAAATTACGCGGCGTTTAAAATTACATCTATTTATTTATGATTAATTTTTTGTTCTTATATTATGTATGATATTATAATGACATAACCTCAAAATGCTAGTTACATATTCAGATATTCTCAAACTCCCGCGTAATTTTGTTTTTTTTTTTTACACATATTCTAGAAATAATTCTCAATTGTTTATTGTTACTTTCATCAAGGTAACGCAAAAATAGCCGAATTCTTGTAATAAATTACCAAACTCTCTTTTTAACGGGTAGGGAACCCTAAAAACAATATAATTTATTTAACATTTCGAAAAAAGGTAATTTTATATATCTTTTTTTCGATCGATGATAATTGTACCAAATCTACACATGGTACAAAACACTGTCGCTTCCCGCTGTCTGTATGTTGAGATCTGTTTAAGTACACAACGGCTTTTAATTCGGTTCCCATAAATATACATACAGATACAAGAGGAAGGTTTATATGTATACAGGACAAGTATATATTTATGTTATGCTCAAAGCCCTCCGTACTACCCTCTCGCGTAATCCAGAACCCTGTAACTGGCAAGGCAATGCCGGGAGTCATACTCTAACCTAACCTTACCTAAACTTTTTTTTTTTATACCGAGGGGAACTGACCTTAACATGCCATCGACCTGGACTAGAGGCCGACTGAACCCGGGCTCTCCCACTGCAAGGGACGGCGGTCCAGTGGAGTGGGCCTACCGTGCAAAACCCCCCGTGCTACCCTCTCGCGTGGTCCGGCACCTGGTATCTTATAATTAAGTCCCAGGTGAACCTAACTTAACCTAATCAAATATGGTTCAATACACTTCACGGTTTTTCTTCATTGCCACAACGCGTTGTGAACTATTTTTTGGCTTAATGAACGATTTCGCTCTTTGTACATACATATACAAAACTGTCAACTTTACCTGTAATATAACCCTGGCGGGTTTGAAAGCTATTTCCACTCCGCCCTCCACCTGCTGGTTAGTCTCCCAATCCAGCACGTTCTGCACATCCTTCTGCAACACCTGGAAGTTGTCGCAGTTGCGGACGCACGACTCCAGCAGTACTCTGATGCTGTACGGTAGACGGTCTACAAAAAAAATGCAACGGGTGAAGACAGCAAATGATTATAATTTTTTTCTGGTATTATTTAATACACTATTACCGATAATCACACTTATATGAATATTATATTAATAATATTGTTGAAATCAATGAGGAAGTATTTATAAAAAAAAAACAAAGCACTATAAAAGCACCTCCACTAGATGGCGACTCTAGAAAAAGTAGATTTTTTCAGGAAACGAATGGACCAAAGACAGTAATTTCCGTTCCTTTTAACTAACATATTAAAAAACTGAAATTTGTAAAGTTCGAAACTTAGACATCAATACAAATACGAAAGAGTACAAATAGAAGTATATTATCATGGGTATATGAGTTGTTTATTGAGTTTTGAAAACTAATTTACTTTTAAACATGAAAGAAAACCAGAAGGGTTGTCATGGAGAAATCAAGAACGCACCGTAGCGACATCTAGTTTGATTTCGGGAACTTTTTTTTTTCATTACTTACTAATTGCGAAAAAACAAATATTTTATACTCGTTGTCACGTGATCGTAAACAGTGCGTGACGTCATGCCCCTCTACACATATCAGAGCATAAAGAATTAAAGCTTATGCATACATACAACGATATTAGTTTCAGAGTGACGTGACGTCATAGACGCCATGACAGAAGTTGACGTTTACGCGGGAAATTTTGAAATTAAATGAAATTTTTATATTTTAAATTGTTATATATGTATATCTGTAAAATAAAAATATTTAAAAAAAAGGCGTCTACACCCCTATCATGTTAAAGAAACATTTAGTAATAATCATTATGTAATTTAAAAATCTCTCGCAATCTCTTTCTGAATAAAAAAAAAAAGCTATAGATTGTGAAAGCTATTTATGGTAATATATAACTTTAAAAGCAGTCGCTTTTAAAACTAATAATGAAACATAATAAATACATAGTTGAACCCATCTAAAGATTGCAGTAAATATGCAACTCTTTCGTTTGACATTTCTCAGGTATCCCTTTGCTTAGACAATTCCAATTAACGTCATATAACGATATCCTTTCAAAATAAAGCCACGATTGCTTTTGCTGGTTTGCGTTGCCACCAACTAACTGTGGCAACGATTCCTTCGCGTACAAAGAAATTTGGCGACTCATTTCTTTGTCGAACTTCCAAAAAATGGAATTGTCTCCCGGCCCATGTATTCCCTTCCTAAGACATGGCGTCCTTCAAGCGGGGCTGAAGAAGCACCTTGCAGGTCGGCAAGGTGAGGTTGGCTAGTGCAATACCTACGTACTGTTTTCACTAGCTACCTCCGCTTACCATCAGGTGAAGCACAGTCATTTGCCCTCCATTTTATAAAAAAAAAAAAATCGTTGTATAAAGATATTTATTAGTAAAGCTTTAATTGATCTATTCCTATTAATATTATAAATGTGAAAGTTTCTTTGTTTGGATGTTTGTACGTCAATCACGCCGAAACTACTGAACGGATTTTGATGAAATTTGGTATACAGATAGGGTGATAGCTGACTTAGATAATAGGATACTTTTTATCCTACTTAACATTTCCCTAGTGGACCACGCTGGCGAAGCCGCTGGCGAAAGCTAGTATTATAAGAACAAAAGTTTCATCTTAATTGAAGGTTTAAATATTTCTTTCAGCGGTTTGTGATTGGCGGATTGCCTGAACAATAATGAAAATACGCTCTGTATTTGCGAAAAAGTAAAAAAACGCTTGAAAAATTCGTCAGTCCTGTTAGATATTGAGTAGCTCAATGGTTAAAACGGAAGGTTGGATTGTAACCCATCCTATCTCGATACCAATGAATGAATGAATATATATATATATATATATATTTTATTGCCCGGTAAGCATAAACATATAAGACACATAAATGCAAAAAGCGGCTTTATTGCTAAGGTAGCAATTTCTACCAGGCTACCCTTGGCTAAAAGACACTTTACCGATTGAGTAGAGACTGCAGGCTAGTACAGCTAAATACATAAATTAATAGAAATAAAAATACTCATTCAAAATAAAATAAAACAGAATTCAATTTCAATAAGACTAAACCAGCTCGAGGAAATGTCCCTTGACATATTTAATATAGGACTCTCGTGATTGTACGCGATTGATATCTCCAATAAGTCAAAATTTTGAGAATAATATGTCTGTGGACGTTCCACTCTCGTAACACGCCATTTTATCGGAAACCCTGCGTCAGTGGACCTTGGAAAATAAAACATATTGCCTGATTATAAATTTTTAAAAACATGTTTTCTATGATGTCTTGGTGACGATAAAAAAACATTGTACGTATATGTGTAGGCTATCTGTCTTGATTTATTTATTATACATACACTTACGAAACTTATAAACAAGTTATATAGTCTGTCAAGAATGATAATGTTAAATTTAAATTCGATAATTCCATTATCTAAAAATATAAAAAAGAAATTCAAAAACAAAATAATAAAAAAAGAAAACTCGACCAAGTGCGAACCGAGTAAAATAATCTCTTTTGTTGTATGGCAGCCCACTTATATATTTGTTTTATTCTGATTTTTCAGTATTTTTTGTAGTAGCGGCAACAGAAATACCATCTTCTGTGAAAATTTTAACTCTAACTTTAGCGGTTATAACATACAGCCTGGTGACACAGGCAGACAGACAGACAGCGACCCGTTTCACAATACCAGTTTTGTTAATAGCAGATAATACTAAACATAATACAAGACTACCATAGATTCTAATTATAATAACTAATGTCAGTTTGAGTATAAAGTGTACTGTAATAGACAGCAAGCGCAGAGGACTGTAGATAATTAATAATATAATTTTTAGGACACCAAAAGATTAATTATTGACCAACGTACAAAAACAAAATACAAGAGAATACATCGACAAAGTCGAAAAATAAAAAAAATATAAATTAAAAACAAGTATAAAAACCTCCTTAAAGAGGCCAGTAATAATATATCAAAAACATGGTAAGGCTGTCGGCAACATCTACTATATCACATTCCGCTACTAAAGCCCTACGGCGTGTCCGGCCTAAAATGCTGGATCCAGGGGTCTACTTTTAAAATCTGTCGCAATCCCTTTAAAGGCTGATGATGATGTCTGATCACGTAATCTATTTTTTATACGTTACGGGTTAATGACGCCTTTAAGCTAAAATGAATGTCTAATTTGTATCGGTAATGTGTTATTAAACTAATTACAATTTTAATGGACGTTTATACAACTGGCTGTAAGTAAATAATTGTGGTTAACCCCAAAGGAGAACTTTTTTTTGTATGGAGGCTGGTACTTTATTCAAATTATCTCTAACCAAGCATAAAGTATAATCGCACGTTGTGAATGACAATGTCACTAACCAAAAACGACGTATTTTTTACTTTTGACAACATTTTTCTTTGTTAAGTATAAACTTTTAAACGCAAAGATCCCAGTGAACGTAGTTTGCATAGAAACTGCTAGGTGGCGTAGTGACGATACGTTGTTTAGAGGGGCTGATTACAATTTCTTGAACTTTAAACGCTCATTACTCAAAATCGCATTTTTTGCATTGTGTCACTATCGTTCTCAACGTACGAATATATTAATCGATAGAGGATAAATAAACCTTACTCATGGTCATTTAATTTTATTTTTAGGCGCCACCAAAATGTTTATTTTCTGATTTGAACATCATTTGGTGGATATTTTATAATTTATGTAGCAACACATAAGTGCATTAAGAAAATCTATGGCAACCCCATCCCTAAGTTACGTTCCAATTCATGTTGTGAATCAATCTTTTTGGACAATGTGGAATTAATATTTTTATTTGTTTTTAATTATTGTTATTTTAGACTTCAAAATCTCAAATACATATGTATCATATGTATAAATCTCAAATTTAAATGAATCGAAGCTCGTCAACGCAGATTAGGCCCGGTTTGAGTTTATTCACTGCTTGGCTTACTATAATAAACAAATTATGAATTATATTTTCACAATATTGATATATGATTCGGCTCCTAGGGACGCTAAGTTATTTATAAGGTGTTTTGGAGTAATACACAAAACAGGCAAATTCAGGATGCCCGAAAGTGACGAAATAAAAACAAATCAGGCATTTTGTGTCGGTAAAGTGTACGATTAAATATGCTTTTACTGGATAAAAATATTTTAATTACAACAAACATATTGCTTTTTGTTTTAAAGTCATTATCGGAATTTCCCCACTTTTGACCCCAAAGTATCCTACCGAAAGTTAGGTTGTGGAGAAAGATCCCTTTGCGTTTGTTTTAACTTTCTGCACTTTATTTTTTTTTTAATGAGTTTTATGGCTGTACGTACTAGTATTTCTAGGAAAACCATACCATTTTTTTAACTTAATTCTCTAAAATGGGGGAACTTTCAGACCTGAAACTTCAATGAAAGATAAAGGATTGAGTCTTAGATGCTATAATAATTTTCTTTATAGTGGTTAGATTTTTCGGAATAAAGTACCAAAAAAAACATTCTCCTTTATATTGCGTTTGCCGAGTCAGCTTGTATTAGTTTATAGTCTGTTCATCTTCCTCTGAGACAAAATGTAAACAAACTGGAAAAAGGTTCTTTAATATGCCAAAATATAAATGCATTTAGAATGAATGAAAAAAGAAAGTGACATTTAAAAGCACCTAAAATTGAAGCTATTCCCAAACATTGGACGTATTATAATACTACTAAATTAACTTATAAATACTACTAAATACTTTACGTAGAAACGTGAAATTTTGTAATTTGTCGGTTTATACCGGCCATTTTTACTCTCGATCAACTCGTTGACTCGTGCAAAATGACTAGTTTCTCAGAGGAAGACGGGGAAAAATTCTGAATAAGATTATTTTACTCTTACAATAGCTAGTTTTATTTGAAAAGAAATAGACTTATTGTATTGCATACCTACCATACAATAATTTGTCCCATTAACAAATTATATTTACATACCAACATCAATAAAAATGTTTGAGAAACATTGGTTTGTTTGTTTACATTTTGTCTCCGAGGAAGTTGAATAGACTATAGATTCTATTTTAAAAATTTAGACAAATTGTAGCCTTTATATGTTTCGTTTCGCGCGTACTAATATATTATTATATCTTTTGTTACATTTTTATGGTTGTAACTGCATATAATGTCCATGTCCCGAATTAAAATCGTATTATGCTAAATCTGTCCGTTTCATGTGATAACTTTGTTTATAGACGACTTATAATTTACTTATATCATTTGTTTGAACATTTGAAACCATTAAGGTACCAGTGAAATATAGTTTCTATTTACGAATGAGGAAGTATTTAAAAAAAAAAGTTAGATCCCGAAATCAAACTAGATGACGCTACGGTACTTTCTTGATTTCTCCATGACAATGCTTCCGGTTTTTTTTAATGTTTTGAAAGTAAATTAGTTTTCAAAACTCAATAAACAACACATATTCTATTTGTACTTTTTCGTATTTGTATTGATATCTAAGTTTCGAACTTTGCGAATTTCAGTTTTTTAATATGTTAGTTAAAAGGAACGGAAATGACTATCTTTGGTCCATTCGTTTCCTGCAAAAATCAACTTTTGCTAGAGTCGCCATCTAGTGGAGGTGCTTTTTTAGTGATTTCGTTTTTTTTTAATACTTCCATATTGGAAGTAATCTTTTGCAATGCAGAAACTAGCTGTTTTCCCGCATCTCCGCCCGGGTAAATTACAAGCCACCCGCATATGATGTAGCTATCCGTAGATGAAAGAATTTTTAAAATATCTCCAGTAATTTCAGAGTCTATTCGTTATAATACAATCAAATATTTCCGACTTAAAATATTTGTATATAGATAAATTAATCGGTATAGATAGGTGAAGATATTGGTCATTAACAACATTTAAAAAAGAAATACACGTGATATATTACTACACCCCCCCCCCCTCTTGTGATATTTCGTGATTTTTGACGAACCCTCTTCCCTACTTTCAAGTATCACGTGATTAATTAACGGCCCCATTTCGAAAGTTTACGTGAATTGCAGCAAGTTGCATATACGTCCATTAAAATTGTCATTCGTTTAAAGCGGCATTACCTATACAAATTTGACGTCTATTAGAGCTAAAAGGCGTCATTAAACCTTAATGGACGTTTGTGCGACTGACTGCAGTTTTGTCTTATTAAAGTCTCTTTTAAACAACGTCTACGACTAAAAAGAGAATATCGATTATTTTCTGAAGAAAGATCGATTATTAATTAATCGATTTTACATGCTACAATAAAAACCGATTAATTAAAAATGAAACAAAATATGAAAAAGCTATATCTTTTTTTAATTTTAAGTATTTTATCATTATCATAATCAGAATATCTTTGATAATTTAATGGAAACTGACTTCATAGCTTAATGAACTCACTTTCCAACTGGACTGATCTGTATGAAATAAAACAGGGAGAATCATTTGCTGAGTTTCTTGCCGGTTCTTATCAATACAATGTCTCCATAAGTTTGCGAACTGATAAGAGTGAAGTAATGATATTGCATCTATGATACAGTTAGGGCTGACAACATTTTTTCAACGAACTATAGTATTTTTATAAATTATCTCTTAAAATATAGTACACTTAAAAATATAAGTATAGTGCTTATTTATCAGTTTTCATAGGAATCGAGCATTAACAAATGTGTTAGAATACACGCTATTAATGAAAGGAACTACATTTAAATTAACATATGTGTTAGATTTATATGTATATTTCTCCAGCGGTATATTATGCAGGTCCAAAACGTAGTACAATACTAATATTATAAAGGCGAAAGTTTGCATATTTGCATGTAATGTACTTGGTATACGGACAATTCCAAGCCTGGATTAATATTTAGGCTTCTCTTTATCCTGCTAAACCGTTCTATAGGGACCACGACGAAGCTTGTGGCGGAAAGATAGTAAATTATAATTACGGTTGGCAACCCTAGCAACAGTATACGAGACACCACACGCAGGGGGCATGTTACTGCTGTGGCGCATTTTGCACTTCGTTACGTAATGATAAGATTTATTATTTATTGTTATAAAATCATCAAAATGCTATAAAGTGTAACTTAACGATTGGCGGTTGACATGAATCCTATTAATATTATAAATGTGAAAGTTTCTTTGTTAGGATGTTTGTTCGTCAATCACGTCGAAACTAATGAACGGATTTTAATGAAATTTGGTATACAGATAGGGTATTAGCTGACTTAGATAATAGGATACTTTTTATCCCACTAAACATTTCCCTAGGGTCCACGCGGGCGAAGCCGCTAGCGAAAACTAGTATTTAATATATGTTTTCGAAAAACAAATGTTAAAGCGCGATTGAGAATACACGTGACGCCATCTATTAAATAAAATCGGAATTATTTCAAACTGTTAATGAAAATGGCCGATATTTACAGAATAATGCATTCACTCACCATATTTATTACCAAGTGATGTTATATCGAAGTATTTGTAAGTTTTTCCGTTTATATCGATGCTCTTCAGCAGATTAGCGTAAGGATTGTTTGTACCTGTAACAAGAAGAATATCTAAATATAACGTTCACACGACACATAAAGTAACCACAATATATCAAAGAATCATTTGAATCGTGTCCAATTTTGTCCTAAAAATTTTAACTAACGCGTCTAGTGAAGTGATATATATCAAAATGTAGCTTATTTTTTAAAAGCTTGGATAAAAATTGCGAGGCTGATAATGAGGAAGTATTTTAAAAAAATAGTTCCCAAAATTAAACTAGATGTCGCTACGTACTTTTTTGATTTCTCCATAACAACCTTTCCGGTTTTCTTTCATGTATAAAAGTAAATAAATTATAAAAACTCAATAAACAACTCATATTCTATTTGTACTTTTACGTATTAGTATTGACAGTTTCGAACTTTGCAAATTTCAGTTATTTTTCAATGCAGTTGCTCATAAAGCACTATTTTTGTAATCCATTGTAAACACCGAAAGAGAGTCTTTAAACACGTGTTATATAAAAATGTACTGAAATCCTTTACTGCACACGTGCTTAAAAGTATATTTTTAATTTTTTGTGGCCGAGCACCAAAGAACTTTAAAAAAAAAATTACGAAAATATGTCAAACTTTAGAGGCAAAAGTATTTCAAGGAGCCCAGAACGAATATCTATATATATAAAAATGAATCGCAAAATGTGTTGGTAAGCGCATAACTCAACAACGCCTCGACCAATTTGGCCAATCTTTTTTTAAAATGTTCGTTGAAGTTCAAGGATGGTTTTTACGGCGAGAAAAATTAGAATTATTGCTGGAAAAACCCTAAAAATAGCCCTTTTCTTTTTCCCATACAAATGATTTGTAACTAAAACGTAGTCAATTTGAGCTTTATTGCTATGGTATAAAGTTCATATTAAATTACAAGCACTCACTGTTGTCTAAGCAATGTAGGTGTGTTCCTAACGTCAAAGATCATATCTATCACAAAACAATGTGCGTGTGTGCGTTGGAGCACAGAATACATAGTTGGAGGAGTTTAATGTCGCGTTCCGAAACTCGCGTTTCTTTTGTATTAGTTTCGGCACGCGAGATAAAATGCATCAGTTTCCACGTCATTACATGTATTGCCGGAACATTGATGAAAATACGCTCTGTAGTAGCAAAGCTGTTGGGTCCTAGATAGCTCATTGGTTAGAGCAGTCCCTGGATCGCGAATGGGTTCGAGTCCCATTCCGGGGTACAGGTAGATGGATTCTTCCAGCATTTTTCCTTGAGAATGTTTATATATTTTTTTAATTCGAATAGTTTACTTTTATAATGCTGTTGTGTGTAATGTGTTTTTATGATCATAAAAATATCTTTTTTCTATATTTAATACTATTACTATTAATACATTGCAATAATAATTATGATTCACATGATTAACAATAAAGCGATTACTTACTTTTAAATCCTTATATATGTTTTATTTAATTATTTTTTATTCACAACGCCCTATCACCAGGGTGACGGTTCTGTTCAGGAGAATTTTTTTAAATACGTAGGCAAAAAAACTGCCACATTACAAATCTTTTTGACAGGACGAAGTCTGTCGGGTCAGCTAGTTTTCAAATAAAAATGTATGACACGAAAACATGTTCAAAAATTACGTTTAATTTTAACAAATAATTTTTACCTTTAATACATACTTGGTTATATTAACCTATATATTTTTTTATTTTCTCGCAAAAAGCATTGAAAAATGTTGTAAGAAACTTGAGCGTAAAAGGTTTTTCGAATCCGTGCCAATAAATTTGGCCCTTATTCGTATAACCCTACTTTCCGCTATAATATGTTAGTTAAAAGGAACGGAAATGATTGTCTTTGGTCCATTTGTTTCTTGCAAAAATCAACTTTTGCTTGAGTCGCCATCTAGTGGAGGTGCTTTTTTAGTGTTTTAGTTTTTTTAAGACTTCGTTGTTATCCTCACAGTGTTAAAACGCCCGATCGCATATTGCAAGGCAAAATCACAAAAAAAGAAATTTAATAATGTACTCGTAAAATATTACTGTTATTGTAAAAGTGTTCTACATAGACCTTGGATTCAATGTGACTTGTATATTTATCAATTATTACCCCTATATAAAAAAATTAAATTGAATCTTTATAAAAGTGATAAATAATACCTATCTCAAAAGCAACTTATTTATTCAAGAAAATACTATTGAAGTCAGGAAAAACTATAGGTGCTAAACTTCAAGAGCATTTTCTTGTTTATTAACCAGTAAAGAAGTTGTGCAAAAGTGCGACTTAATGCTAATGGCATTCTCTCGCAGTCAACCTTTCGGAAAAACTATAAACACAATGGCAGCATAAAACAAAATTAAGTATGCTTAAACATAAAGAAGAAACTAACGAATATTATAAAACATTTAAAACTAATTGATGTGAAAATTTCCAATAATTCTATAATCATATTATAAAAATGATAGATTTGAATGCTTGTTTCTTTGCGTTGGATAGGCCCAGCAGCTAATTTAATAGAGATTGGTTCACAATTCAAGAAGAAAACAATTGACATGGGTACCTATTTTGAAAATATACATACTCCTTGAACATACAAAATATCGAAATGAATTCAAAATATGCAATCTTTTGTTTTTAAATTAATCTGTCGAATAAAAACCAAATTTTGAAAATCAATAAATGCTGGATATATGATTCCATGGCAAATCAGCTAAAGTGTGATGATAATTTATTGGAAAAGTAATTTGGACCTAAAAACATGAAAATTGTTCCAGTGTATCAGTCTGATGAATTACTAACTATTTTAACTGAGGAGCAAAACTATCACGATTTAAGGTTATCATGAGTTTAAAAAAATCTTTTTTGGCAGTATATTTTATCAGTGCAATGTTAGTAATAACACCAATATCAAGATAAGGTCATAAGACATAAGATCAAGAAGGCAGAATAATACTTCACTGTTGCCTGTTCCAAGAAAAATACATTCAAGACCCACATCCTAATTCCTGTTCATATTTGAACTTTTTTTATTTTATTAAAAAAAAAGTTTAAATAAGGTTTACAACTTTTACACATTCAACCTATTTGTATTGGCACCCATTAGGGTTTTATTCTATTATTATCAAAGACTTCTATTACATATGTTTGGATGGCATAGAATATTTTGTGCAGTTGCTATAAAGTATAAGAGAATCAAATTGACTTCGAGTAGGTATGCAAATAAGATCAAAGGTTAAGTGGAATTAATGATGGAATGTCAATAAACTTGAACATGAACCCGATTGGTTACAGCGTTAACTATTTTAATTGATATTTTATTAGAATTTAATATCATAGGAACCAATTAGAAACATCTAAGACCGAAAAATTAAAAATAATTAACTAAAGGTAATAACTTTTGAAAAGAGAACATACCCGCCATGGTACTTTGATCGGCTTCGTTAGATCTCGAAGTCACGTAGCACAATTAAGATAAGTTTATACAAAACAAATAACTGTGATTTCCCGATTTAAATCGAGAAAATCCGGAAAACCACGAGTTTTTACTAAAAAAAACAATTGACAGCGGACTTGATGACACTAGCGAGCACTGTCAGTGACTGTCAGCAATTAAAAAAAAGTCTCACAATGACAATAGTGTTATTGATAGTAGGCCTGACAGGTATCAAGTATACTTAGTACAGCTAGTCAGATTACAAGTTTTTTATTAGAAATTTCTTTAAATGTAATCTAAATTACCACTGAACGCCTACATCGACCCGCAGGTGAAGGAATTTTTAAAATCGGTCCAGTAGTTTTGGAACCTACTCGATACAAACAAAAAATCAAGAATTTCCACTTTATAATATTTGTATAGATAGATAAACATTCCAAGCTTAGAATTTTAAAAGGCATTCGTAAAGATCTTAAAATTATGACAAATAATTATTTACACTCAATTTTAATTTATTTGATTTTCAAAAATCAAAACTTATTTCATGTATAATACATACTTATAAGTTTAAGTTTTCAATAACCTATTTTAGTTCAAAGAAAAAGTGTCAAATGTGCAGAAGCTTCGTAAACTTAATATTTCAGTATGTCGAAGTACTGAGGGTAACATCACTCAGTACCCAATGTGGGGCACAGATAGATTCTGTGGCAAATTTCTAGATATTGCATAATATGATTGTTGCATTGTGAATGAAAGTCTGAGTAATTTTTTGTGATATAAGAATTTATAACTCAATAGTAAATTAACTTTCAACCAACTTCTGAGATCAGTTGAGTCACCGTCACCGCATTTTATGATTATGCAATTTAATTTTTGTCTACTTTTTTCGCTTATTTTAAGTTGTTAAAAAGGCCCTTTAATATATATTACGATTTTCTGTACTTAACATTGCCTCGTCGCCACCTGGTGTTCTAGCAGCGGACCTCACTGGGTACTAAGTGATTTATACCCTCAGTACTTCGACATACATACATACTGTAAAATCAAGTTTTGAAAGCTCTTGAACATTTTTGCCACAAACTCTTTGATTATAACTGTAGCGAAATTTTTGTACCTAGAATATATACTCTTTATAGTTTTCATATTGTTTATGTCTCTGGTGTACAATGATTATTATATAATCTCTGCGAGTGAGTAGCAACGCAAGAAGATAATTTCCAGTGGTCTTGATAATTATAAAATTCGTTGAATACTTAAGAAGCGTTTAACTTCCTATATCCAAACCATCCTAGTCGAAGTTGACACTGAATATTCTGGTGAATTGAACGATGTACGCAACCCCCAAATTGGTGACCCCGAACAAAAAGTACTAAAGGAAATTTTTATTTTCATCGGCATTTCAAGAAATAGTTTTATTCACTGTGTTATTGTGACCTGCGACCCCGTCGAAAGCGACACATCGAGCATTGGATCCCCGACACTGCATCACTGCTTCTGCATCGGATTTTTCCAGCTGCGTCGGTCATCAGGAAAAACAAAAGACGGTCTGACAGAACTTTCGGAATTTATAAAAACGGATGCATGGTGTTTTATATTGTTTAATTCAGCAATTTTGTATTGAGTTTTATTGTATTTAAATTGTTATTTTAATTTTTATTAAGTTGCATGTATTTTGTTTCAAACTGTTAATACCGTCCCCCCACGTCATCTTCAATATTATTTTCGGTTTATTTTGGTTACACATTCTTAGCCTTGTCTTCCTGATCAGTGTCCAGTTCCACATCATGGCTGAAGAGTTACGAGCGGAATTGGAAAGCCTGCGGGCTGAAGTTGCTGCAGCAAGGAAGCAACAAGCTGAATTCGCTTCGACGACCAACATCACATCACCTGTTGACTCTCATCATCAGGCTCCTATGAGTGAGGTTTACAAGGTGTCTGTCAAACTTCCACCATTTTGGCACCACGCACCATCTGTGTGGTTTGCTCACGCAGAGGCTCAATTCCATTTAGCAGCGATAACTTCAGATACCACAATGTTCAGCTATCTGATAAGCCAGATTGATCATAAATTAGCCTTAGAAATTGAGGACATCGTCATGAACCCTCCTAAAGAAAGGAAATATCAAACATTGAAGGATACCCTCATTAAGCGTTTATCGGCATCTCAACAGCAGCGGGTCCGGCAACTCCTCAGCATCGAAGAGCTTGGCGATAAAAAGCCATCACAGTTCCTGAGGCATCTTTGGTCATTGGCTGGAACATCGTTAACTGACGACAACCTGCTCCGCGAGCTGTGGCTTCGACGTCTTCCTTCCCAAGTTCAAGCGATCTTGGCAGCCCAAGCCGACCTTGGCTTAGACAAGCTTTCGGACTTGGCTGATAAAATAATCGAGGTATCTCCAGGTGCGATAAATATTTGTGGTATTGCTGGACCATCGACTGCTTCTGATATTGAACAAACTTTAAAATCATTAACGGACCGCATTGATCAACTCAGTAAGGAAGTTTCAGCTTTGACTCAAGCGCATAGTCAACGCGCGCCTCGTTCCAGATCTTCGTCTAGAAATAGACTTCCTTCGCGTGGCTCCTCACCACACAGCTCTTCAAGAATTTGCTGGTACCATAAGAAATTTGGTTCCAAGGCAACACATTGCATTGGGCCTTGCTCTTGGTCGTCGGAAAACTCGACGAGCGATCGATAGCGACGGCAACCGATCGCAATCCCATTGAAAATTACGGCCGTCGATTATTCATCACTGACAAAATTTCTAAGCGCTACTTTCTTATTGACACGGGTTCAGATTTGTGTTGTTTCCCGCACCGCTGGCTTCCAAGTCCGAGGAAAATCTCAGAATTTGAACTAAGCGCCGCAAATGGAAGTTGCATCAAGACGTTTGGCACCATCAGTCTTACTTTAGACCTTGGACTGCGTCGAAGTTTCGTCTGGCGATTCATGGTCGCCGATGTCAACGCCGCCATCATCGGCTCAGACTTCTTGGCTCATTACCACCTGCTACCCGATTGTCGAACCAAACGGTTAGTCGATGGTATCACCGGTTTATCTGCATCTGCTGCTACCGCCGTGTCCGAACAGGCTAGTGTCAAGGTTGTTCTTTCAGAAAGTAATGAATTTACTTTTCTACTTTCAGAATTTTCTGAAATCACCAAACCTCCTGGACTTCCAAGAGTTGTCAAGCACAACACTCTCCATTACATCAAGACTACAGATGGTCCTCCTGTCTCTTGTCGGCCACGCCGTCTCGCCCCGCAGAAATTGATTTCTGCCAAGAAGGAATTTGAAGATATGGTGCGCGCTGGTATTGCAAGACCATCTGACAGTCCATGGTCATCTCCGCTCCATATGACTTTAAAAAAGGATAACACTTGGCGTCCTTGTGGCGATTACCGTGCCTTGAACGCCAGGACTATTCCAGATCGTTATCCAGTGAGGCATATTCACGACTTTGCCAACTGCCTTAGTGGAGCAACTATCTTTAGCACGCTTGATCTGGTAAAAGCTTACCATCAAATTCCTGTTGCAGAAGAGGATATTGTCAAAACAGCAATCACCACCCCGTTTGGCCTCTTCGAATTTCCATACATGAGTTTTGGATTAAGAAATGCTGGACAAACCTTCCAACGCTTTATCGATGGGGTCACGCGAGGTCTTGATTTCTGTTTTCCTTACGTTGACGACGTTCTCGTTTTTTCTCCAGATGAGACCAGCCACAAGGAACACCTCCGCATCCTTTTCAATCGTTTCAAGGAAAATGGAGTTATCATCAATGTCTCTAAGTGTACCTTTGGTGCAAAAGAGGTAAGGTTTCTTGGCTATATTGTCAACGCAGAAGGCACGCGTCCACCGCAAACTCGCGTACAGGATTTATTAACTTTTCCTCCACCTCAAACAGTGCAAGGCATGCGTAGATTCCTCGGCATGATAAATTTTTATCGCCGATTCATTCCTCATGCTGCTCAATATCAAGCTTCATTAATTGACGCCATTGTTTCCACTCAAGGTAAGGGCGTGAAACCATTCCCATGGACACCTGAGCTCCTTGAACAGTTCGAGAATTGCAAGAAGAGTCTTAGCAATGCGACACTTCTTCAACACCCCGTAAACGGTGCAGAACTTGGCCTTTTCACTGACGCTTCCAGCGTTCACATCGGTTCCTGTTTACAGCAGAAAATCAACGGACACTGGGCACCTCTTGCTTTCTTCAGCAAGAAATTAACTCCTCGTCAGAGTCAGTGGCCAGCATATTATAGGGAACTTCTGGCAGTGTACGAAAGTGTACAACATTTTAGACACATTTTAGAGGTCCAAAATTGTACCATTTACACTGACCATAAGCCATTGTTGTACGCTTTCGTACAACGCCGAGAGAAACTTCCTCCCCCCCAACTGAACCAATTGTCCTTTATTAGTCAATTCACGACTGACATACGACACATTAAAGGGGAAGAAAATGTTGTCGCTGATGCAATGTCTCGTATTAATGCTGTGACCTTAGAACAAGATTACGAAGCTCTTGCCAAGGCACAGCAAACAGATGAAGAACTGGCGAACATTCGTAAAACCTCGTCTCTGAAACTGGAGCCCATTCCAATTCCAGGAACCAGTATCACCTTATTATGTGACACTTCTACTGGCAGACCAAGACCTTATCTAACGCCACAGTTCCGTCGATCCGCATTTGACCGCTGTCACCAACTTAGTCATCCCGGTGCACAGGCTTCCGCGCGTCTTGTGTCAGAACGCTATGTTTGGCCAAATATTAACAAAGATTGTCGCGAATGGACACGTTTCTGCATACAGTGCCAGAGAAATAAAATTTCAAGACATAATAAATCACCCATCGGACAGTTTGAACTCCCATCTGGTAGATTTCGCCATATTCACATTGATATCATTGGACCCTTACCATTCTCCAACGGATTTACATATTGTTTAACCGCTATCGACCGTTTCACACGGTGGCCAGAGGCTTGGCCAATGGTTTCAATGACCGCCGAGGAAGTCGCTGATAAATTAGTATCTGGTTGGGTAGCTCGTTTTGGTGTACCCAGCTCAATCACCACCGACCAGGGGCGTCAATTTGAATCCTCCTTGTTTCAGCGGCTGATGAACTTCTGTGGTTCCAAGCGAATACGCACTACTAGCTACC